AACTCCTGACTGAGAAAATACAACCCGTAGTTGTTAAAGAGCTGATTATTTCTGGGGATCTTGCTTCAGTTGAAGTATCAACTCAACTGATAGTCTGATTATTATTTGGGACATTTACAATTTTTCCAAATATCGATATGGAATTGAGCCAAGTATCATAATTTCAGCTACTCATTATATACAATATAAGTATATCCTTAAAGCTGATAAACTCAAATGGAAAATTGACTCTATGCAGAAGGAAATTAAAGAGCTTAATGAACGGATATTTCAGTCTTATGGAATCCAACCTTCCAAAAAAGGACAAGCATATCTGAGTTGGTAGCAGGTCAAGAGGAGTTCATTCAGCTCCAAGCCCATTTATGTAGGAAAAAGCTCAGAGCTTTGAGTCTTCCTTAAACAGTTGAGTAAGATGAGCAACCTCTAGTGACCATTATGGAGAAATATTTTTCAGGGTCGTTTTCTCTTAAAGATCATTCAGTCAACACTGAAACAGAATACTGAGTTTGATCAAAGTTTTATTATTATTATAGACTGAGTATAGCTGTGGTAGAGTTCCTTAGGAAAACCACATAATAATGTCTTTCAGGTCTCCAGGCCAGCAACATGCTGGAATATGTGAGGAAAAAGTATCTTCCCTGATTTGCATCCTATAGTCAACAAGGGTAAAGAGTTTAACTAAGTTTGTGAGACAGCAAGAAATAAATATCTTTATTTATCCTGCATTTTCTGAATGGTAGAGGGAGAAATCTCAGGATGCTGATATTGCTGCCATATATTTGATAATCATATATGAAATTCATTTTGATGCTGAAATTCAACAGCAATCCTCCCAGTAATTTTGCAAATATGAAGAAGACAAAAACAAAACAAAACAAGACCCAAAAGCCATTATAGAATCTTGTTCATTAGAAACTATGACATTTGGATGGTGTTTACTAATTTTCATGATCCTGCCAGAGATATTTTTAATATGGAAATTTTCATCTTTTTAGTTTTGTAAATCTCATAATAGTAACAATGGAGCTTAAGTTATACTAATGAAGTCTTCAATTTATTAATAATTTTTCTTTTAAAAAAATCAGTCACAAAGTATTGATATTTGGAGACTACTAAATCTAACCCAACATGAATCTAGCTTTTTTTCAACTCTCATAAGCTATAATCTAGATTATTTTTTAATATCAAGAGCTATATAGTTGATTGGATAGAGAATTGCATATGCATTTGGGCCACATTGGGAAATAATTTAAAATATGATTTTAGTTCTCATGAGAAATGGCTTGAAACAATCCATGTTTTAGAATGATGGGAGAAATCATAGAAATGATTGGCTTCTTAACTTTGAATTGTAATTGAATCAATGGAGAAGAAAGATTGGATAATATGTTTCCATATCATCCAGGTTTAATTTTTTTAGAAACTGAATTGTAATGATTTACATAACGATAATATTCCTGTTTTATAATGTAGAAAAGTAGTGAAACTATTGTATTAATGTATTTTTATTGTTATTATTTAAGTTATTTTTCTTTCTTTTACATCTTTATTCTTTTTAGTTTGTTTAGATTAGCTGTTTAATTTAGATTTAATTAGATTTGTTTTTCTTATGAAATTAAAATAAAAAATAAATAAAATTTAGAATAAACGTTATGAACATTGTTCTTAATTGTTCTTATTTGTAGTGTTTAAAACCATTTAAAAAGAAAGGGACAGAATTGCTCTATACATTCCATTATCATATATGTTCTGTGGCATTATCAATGATTTTTGGGGAAAAGTGTCAAGTAGTAATAGTAGCAATGTTCATTCATCAATGACCAGCAACATTTAAAAATAAACAACATGAAAGTGTCAAGCTGGTTTAAGACTGATCAATAAGTAAAAGATACTTAGATGTTTTTCATATAAATAGATATTCACAAACTTAAGGACTGCTTAGGATGTTTTTAAACTGTGTGTGTGTGTGTCTGTGTGTGTGTGTGTATGACTATGGCATATAAGAAGAAGATAATTTTATCATAGCAACCTGGAAAGGAAATTTTGAATATGCATGCAAGAAACCATAATGCTTACAGGTCTGCAAAGCCAGAACTTGATTAGATGTGTGGTTCTGAAACAGAATATTCATTAAATCATATTAAGCAGGCTTAATAAGGGGAGAAACTAAAGAAATTATTGGCTTCTCAATTGAACTGATCTAAACAATGCAATGTAATATTTACAGTTAAATTTTCCAAAAGTGTAATACATAATACCTCTGGTCAGGGGCATCTGTTGTTTTGTAGGGTGTCATTGACATCAAAATGGCAAGCACGACCAGACATCCAAAGCTTTTTCTCTTTTCAAGTATGTGTGATGCATGCAACACATATTAAAAGGGGGCGGGGCTTTGATTACCTGGTTGCAATTGCCTTTTTGATGTCATTGACCACCCTACCCCATGACCCCAAAGATGCTCCTGGCTGGATTTCTATATTCATCTTTACCATTTTAAGATGGAAGCACCAAATGAGTAGATTGAAACTTTTTTCAACAGAATAAACCTTCCAAACATTTCTCAAATTCATTCAAGGGATTTTGCCACATTGACTGAAATGTTAGACACAAATAATTCAAATCTGGGAAGGCTCCCAGGCTAGAATGCTATAAAAATACAAAGAAAGCCTGGGCCCTATAGCTGTACATAATGAATCGTTGGAAAATGGAGTCCTTCCATTAACATATTGCGAGGCCTGTATCACGTTCTTATATTGGGTAAGGATTCCACAGATTGCCTGAGTTAACTGCCTGATATCATTGTTAAATACAGATGTAAAATTTTTGACTGTAACTTTAGCATATAGGTTGCAGAATATGCTACCATCAGTATACATTCTGCACAATCTGATTTCATGAAAGAACAAGACTTCTGTTAATATTAGATTACTTGTGAATATTTTATTAATTCAGCCTAAGAAACTTGAAACTACTGTAGTAGAAACAGTTTTTGATGTGATACAGATTAAATATTTGTTTGGAATATGTTATGAAACATATAGAATTAAAACTCTTAATACTTTAGCCCTTCCTCTTGAGATATTACAGATACGTTTACTTCCTGGCCACTTAAAATGTGTAATGGGGCCTGTTAACAGGTTCTATATCTCCCCACATATTTAACTTGGTTCTGGGACTTTTGGCATCTCTTAATAGACAACCTAGTAACATTCATTGTTTATTAGTGGCTGGGGGTGTTATTATATGCAGATGATATTTTGAGCCTTATTAATGATTACCAAAGTTCTTACGGAGGCTGTACCACAAAATTGTAATGTTTTTATATATACAATAAACTGCAATAAATCTAATTTATCACCAATAGTAGAAAGATTTCTATAGAAAACTCTAAAAATGGAGTTTTGTTCATCATTTGGATTTTGATAATTTGGGGGGAGGGGATAATTATTTCTAGAACAATATCTTTGTGAATAGAAGCAAATATGCTAAATTGTATAGTTCAGATTAATCTATGGTTAAAATATCCAGGAGTTTGTAAAGAAAAATAAATAGTTACATATCTTAGGATGAATATCATTAAGGAATATCATTCCACTAAGATATTTTAGTCAAATTAACAAGTTAATGATTACATTTTTATGGAATGATCAGATCCCAAGGTTCTCACTCTCTAAACTGTAACTCCCATATGAACGTGGACATTTTAATTTTCCAGATTTCCAATTGCACAAATTGACATATCTATTAATTTTTTTTTTCTGAGGATGTAGGGGATGAAATGAAAATGAGTGTGAAAATGTACCACAATGAGCATAATTATTTCATACTTTGAAATCCTGACAAGTACTTGGTTCTAATTATAGTTGGAATTTAGCTAGATTCCCAGCATTAACGGCAACTCAACATATATTTTTCTCTTAGGGAATTGATACTTAAATATTCAGATGGCTGAAAAAAGGATTTGGAGAGAAAAGTTGGGCTGAAAATGGGGTTAACACCTTAGGACCCTTTGTTAATTGCACTATAAAAATATAAAATATAGCTGCCTAAATGCTGAATGGCAACACATTCCATTAATGTTATATTCTCAGTTTGGCCCTAATATATTGGTGGCTTTGAAAACTGCTGTGATTTTGAGTATATTAGACACATTTTTTTCAGAGGTTAAACCAACTATTCTGTTTTATCAACAAAGAATCTTTCACAGGTAAATATTGATAATTTACAACAAATTTGAAATAAATAATTTAAGTATCCAATTCTTACTAGTCAGTGGTTTCAGATGTTAAAAAAAATTAAACATGTTTCTTATATTCTTAAAATTCTTCCAGAGCTCTACTGGACTCCTCAGTTGGATGTTTAAAAAGAGTTGCTTTATCGACCTTTCTATGCTGGATGTGCCATCTAGTTGTTTGGAAGTGACTGGATATGCTCAATATGGTCAATAAGAGTTTAGTCAGGGAGATTAGATTTAAAGACATTAATGTGTTGTTAAATTAAATCCCTAAAATTTGAAATAAATCTGTGAATGGATTGTAGCAAAAAAATGTTTTTAGAAAGATGTTGGCTTGTTGAAATGTGTGCTCTCTTGGCTTTTAAACTGGCTCCTATTAACACACTGGAAGTACTAGATGACATGATTCTGTTTGGTCAAGATTTAATTTGTGGTTTAAAAATTGAGCTGTGTTACTTTTGTGTGTGTGTGTGTGTGTGTATTGTATTTCATCTAGTTATAATGTGGTCTTTTTCTTTTCTTTTCTTGTACCTTGTGTGCTTGCTTTTCCTTTTTAAAAATTATATTAAAGCCCTTTTTTAAAAAAAGGAGTCCTGATAAAAGCATCCCAGACAGATGGCTGTCTAGTCTCTGTTTAAGTACATCTAGTGAAGGGAAGCCCACTACATTTCTGGGATTACTTTTGAAAATCAGATCATCCATAACTGAATGACAAATCATGAATGTGCCTTTCATATTAATTGTGAATGCTTTTGCATGGTTACAGCTACCATATTCTCCAGTGTTCATTCAAATCAAAGTGGAACTGCTGTGGGCAATGAACCCTCCTCGCATGCTGTGAGCCACACTTCACCGAGGCCCAATGTTCACGACAGCCCTCACAACCCATCAACAGGGGATCCAGGAACAGAGAGGTAAGGCCACAAATAGGCCATTTCCCCTACTGTCACCCCGCACCCCACTCCCACCTTCTTGTATCTGATCATTCTGAGTAGAAGAAGCTGTCCGAGGATTATCATCTCAAGGTTCCAAAATAGAAAGCAATTTGAGTGTACATTAAGAGTTTATAGCTAATTTACCACTCATTCCCTAGTGAAGTTGAAAGGTAAGAAATTCTCAGGTGTCAAAGATCTCTTACAAGAAGAATCTTCCTGAGATATTGTCTGTGTTATTCCAAAAACATTTTCATTACTAACTTTGAGTGAGTAGATTGTTCAAATTTACAGCAATTGTACTTATTTAAGGAAGCACTTGAATGTTGGTACTAAAGGAATTATTTTGTAAAACCAAACAGTAGTTTCTGCTCCTCCAACCTGAAACAGAAAGGTCTTTTTGCAATGTGAGTCCACAGGATGTGCCTCTGCAGCATTTCCTAGTCTCTAATACAATATTCAGTGGCTTACATGTTTCTGCATAGCATTGTTGTAACAGTCCTATCCTGTTGTCTTAAAAGATTTGGAGGTATATGTTTGTAATAGAAAATAAGGAAGGAGTACTTACTCTGCAGAAGGAATGTATACAGGAGATGTTATGAATAACAAGTTTTGAAAAAATCCCTTCAAATTTTATACAGATAACAAGATCAGCTGAAATCAGGCTAAAATAAAGTATCTTTTCAGATTAACACTGAGCTATATTTTAATGTACAGTGGGGCAAAAAAGTATTTAGTCAGCCACCAATTGTGCAAGTTCTCCCACTTAAAAAGATGAGAGAGG